AATCCTACGCGTTCCTTGCCATTTCTTGATATCGCAAAATGCGGGGGTGAAACGTGTTTCCGGTCTGCCATCAGCGAGCATCGAACTACCTTTTTACGCCTCGCGAAATTATTTCCGTGTAAAATTTAAGTTATGCAAAATTATTTGGGTCAATAATTCGATTTTTGTAGAATAAATCTTTTTTTATTAAAAAACGTATAAGTTTATGGTATTCTAATAATACTATAATTTTATAATATTCTAATACAACTATCATATATTAATCATATTATTGAATAATACAGCCGATAAAAATTATATTAAATATTTTTCTTTATCGAGTTTCCTCGAAAGTATTTTTCTCCTCCAAAGCTTCCGAAACGCACTACACGATAGCGCATAATTAATAATCCAATTATTTCGAGATTTCTCTTCGCATTGAATTTTCCCAGTTTATCGCCCGAATAAATTGCCGTGATTAATCCTCCGAGAGATTTAGCTCAATTAAAATAAAACGCAAAATATATCGTATATTTTACACGGTACATTTTTAATAAGTAGAATTATGATACAGTGGCTGTCTTTCTTCTACTTCGCGACGAGCTCTAAGTTAATCTTCGCGACCTACTTTCCGGGACTTTCGTGTTCGTTAAAAAATCAGGCCCCTCCGACGAAAGTGTCGGAGATCAAGTGAGACAAAAGCTGGAAGTTGAGAACTGGGAAAGAGAGGATGAGGAGAGACCACGCGCGCGCTGATAACGCACTTCCCATTGACAAGTTGCTCTGTGAACTCAGCTCATTCTCGAAACCGGATGTCCGTGTGATCTTATATTCAGATATCCGCTCTGCCTATCCTTCCTCCTCGAAATTTCTGCAGTATATTCTAGCAACGTCTCCCGCAACGCGGTATCCATTCGTCCTTCTCCTCCTGGCCTCCTTTCGCATCCAGCTTATCTCATCGATACCTCAAGAGTTTCGACTTTCGAAATAATCAGAATAACTTCTTCCAAATTTAATCCCCAATTTAATCCCCAAATTAATTCGAGATAATTTAATCCGTGAAAAGTTTATACGAAATGTACAAACTTTTATTATAACATAACAAAATTTTATTGATAACGTAGAAAAATTTACTTTTTAATATAAATTAAATTAAATAAATGAACACAACTATATTGCTAATAACATTTTTATATATCTAACAATAATACAAATCTCTTTCTTTCTCTTCCCTCCCTCCCCCTTCTTTCTCTCTCATATTCTTTCTTGCGTGCTCTGTAGCATTCGAGTGTATTAAAATTGCTCTTTAATCTAGCTCTATATAATCGAACTTCTTTTAATTGTGCATACTATACATACTATACTATATTTATAGCATAGTATACTATATTTATAGCAAACAAAAACATATTTCAGCTGTACTTCTAGAATTTTGATTATTACGTTGGCGTGATTTGCAATCCATATCAATCCAATGAAAGTATATGACAATGATTTCTTCTTTCTGAGAGAGAGAGAGAGAGAGAGAGAGAGAATATATATCGATATGCCACATCCATTGCATCCCATTTACAGATACAATATCTGATATTCGATCGTGTCATAGCGGGTTTCCCTTTTCGTTCACGCCAGCCAGCAGCTACCCAATCAATACCGGCCTTTAAAAGGCATTCTGTGTCAATTTTGTATTGGGCATGCCCATAAATGGGAAGCAACAGCATCTCTCTCGTCCACTGCCATGAAAAATGCTCGTCCCTCGGCGCCGTAATATTGACTTATGAATATATTATCAACAATGGGATTTTTTAATGAAATTTTCACCGTACGACAGAACGAGATTTTCCCCGTGTCACGTATCGGATCTTTTATCTGAGCTAAAAGCGTATATTATGTAATCAGTAACTCTTTTATTTTTACGAAACGACATGTATGACCATGGCTTAAATATTTCATTATTATTTTTATTGTGTTATATCATTTTGTGATACGCAAAGTGTTATTTTTGACACTGCAAAAAAGCCGTTTGACTTTTTTTAATTGCCAATCCTCACTCGGCTGTTATAACGTTTATGATCGAGTACAGTTCTTACGCAAGAGGTTAACCGATAACGACACCCGTTTTAAACGCAAGTTACGCGTGTATAATACGCATTTATGCGTATGCGTAAACGTTCATGCGTGATAAGCACATTGGCGTCTGACCAGACTAAAAAATTAGTACTGCGTTGTAACATAACATCACCGCTACATCTTAATCGATCTATCTCTGTTTGTAATGTTTTCAAACTTTTTTATCAAACACAGAATGTATTCTGTACATATTTATTTAATCTTTTTCTTTTTAATAATTAACATTACAAATTTTGCAATTATCAAACATGTATTATGTAAAATGCATATACAGACCACTATACTAGTTTGTTTTCAAATTTAATGTGTTGATCTTGTAATTAATATTTAATATTTAAAAAATTTACAAAGTTTATAAAAATTTGTATTATTAAAAATATAATAAAATGTTTGCTGAAAAAAACATCATAATCTCAATATATGTAGTTAAAATTTATTGTAATCCTATATTATTAATATAATTTAGGAATTTGTGCGCTCTTTTTGCATGGTCTTAATTAGCAATGTTATTTGTTAATTAATAATAAATATCTTGTTTTGTTAGTACTTAAATTGGATAAGTGATACGACAATATTGCACACTAAACAATGATAAGCAATGTCGCTCGATGATAAGTTTCTAAAACAGCAAAACAGACAAAGATGTTGGCGCCAGTAAAGCTTTTAAGAAATGACAAGAAAATTATGTCATTAAAACGTGACGCAGAATATTACAACACATAATATTTTTTTTGTAAAGTAGTATTGATAAAGTATTTTACATAATATGTACTCCATTGTAATAATTAACATCTATCAATAATCGAAAATGGAGTTCTTATTTTTTGTGAATTTATTCTTTTTTCCCCAATAAGAACTTTTCATTGTTGCATTATTAATGAAAACAATAATTTTTAAAATGTAATCGCGTTTTATTATAAAATATTTTGTAGCTATGTATTACATAAGAGAAAAATCATAAATTTTGTTTTATTATCAAATGATTATGTGACAAAATTGAATAAACATTCAAATTTTAAGTATTTTTACAAAATATCAAATTTTTCTAAACGCTTCTTTTAACAAACTTTCTTATGGGTTTTCATCGAAAGTACTGAACATAAGAATAGATACAATGACATCTCTGTAGAGAGATTCGCGTAAATTCTTAAACTCACTTTCGACGAATGAGACAAACATGCTAAAAATCAAAGGGGACAAGTAATGACATTGTAATCACATATGCCACAACCATGCAAGATGCTCAATGTAAATACGTCGCGTAAAATGGCACATAAAAACCGGCAAAAAGCTGTAAAGTCCTCCTGTTCCTTTAGCGTCTATTACAAATTTCTCGTGGAAATTAACAGAAACAGGCTGTAAGGCTGAAAGGCTTTTTCAACAGACAAGTTTCGCTTTCTTAGCCGACTTCTCTCTTTCAAGATGATATTCATAATAAAATTAAATTACCTATTTTGCTTATCTATTTTTATACATGTTTTTGTAATCGTAATTTTCTCAGAATAATTTATAATTGAATTTTGGTATCTTCGTAAACAGTAAACAGCAAACAGTTTGATTATGTTCAATTTATTCTACTTATTACATCGAGAAATATAAGAAATAGAGAAGAAATAAGAAATAAAAAAAATAATCTAAGAGTAATAATTAGAAATAATACAAGAATAATAAGAATAACAAGAAAAAATTAGCAATAAATAATAAACATTTGCAACTTTTTGTCTAAAGTGTCAATGTTTCGTATACCATATTTCTGTTTTCTGGTGTGAAACATTTTTATGTTACGAGATCGGCCTGTGTAAACGATTAAGTGAAAATGTCTTGATGCATGTCGTTAATTAGACGAAACGTGCTTAGACAGTTGCACTATCGCCCTTTAACCAGCTCGAATTAAACGCATCGGCAGTAATACACTTACACGCTTTTGCGTACGCATGCACTTTGCGTATTTCGCATAGGCATTTTTTAGAATCTTGACATCTGCGACTTCGAATACAGCCACACTCCTCGTTCGAATTGCAACGGCGTCGTCGCCTTCTTTCGAATCAAGAATTCGACGCAATTATATCTGCAATTGCAATGATGCACTGATGACGGTACAGAATGTACTTGAGCGTCATGGTGGCGTTAATTATAATTGAGTACTGAAATAATAGACATTGATCGTAAAAGAAACTTAGCGAGTGATTTGATAATTTTATGTAATATGTATAAATATTCATAGCGCGTTAAATTATATTACTATGTTATATTGTAAAATGAATTATAATCAGTGAGATTTCTTATTACTCCGAAGCTTCATTGGATCTGTGATAAGCAGACTTATACATTAATAAACCAAGTTCGATTAATCGAATTAATATATATATAATATATAATTATATATATAATTAATATGTATATAATATATAATTAAAAACTAATTTAATATATAATTAATATATAATTAAAAACTCTAGAACTTTATATTAAATATGAAAGTACATATTAAATTAAATTAATATTATTTAAATTATTTTAATAATTAACTTCAATAAATTTACATCAGATTGTATATAAATATGTCTTGTATATAAAAATGGTCTAAATTTTATTTAGTAAAAATTAGATCATTCCATTTTTTTGGTTTGTGAGAAAGAAACATACTTTTATATATATGTAAACTAAAGATAATGTTAATCAACATTTTATTTAATTTTACTCATTTTCTTTTTTATACTTATATATATAAAATATATATATATAAAATATATAAAATATATATAAAATGTATTCTCAAATACCTCATATATATTAAGTACCTCATATATATTAAGTATACTCAGCAATGAATATATATCTGCTATTAAATTGTTAGAAATTAGGCATTCTTTTCTACTTCTTCTGTTTAGGGCGACGATGGTATACAAGGATTTGGGGGAGCCCCGGGACTTTCCGTACGTATAAACTGCTTCATTGTCTTCCAAAATAAAAAATCACTAAAATTAGATTTTATTCTCTTTCTTTTTTTTTTTAATGAATCACACAATCTTAAATTTTACTGCATTATATATGTAATATTATAAAATTAATTAGATAATGTAAAATATATAAATTCCAAACATTTTTTTCAAAGCATAATACATAAAGAGAAGCAATTTTTTCTAATATAATCCAGTAATTAAAGTACTACGTAAAATCTTCTTATAAAATTTTCTTCTTAGAATTCTCATTTATCTTTCTGATTTATTTGTTTAATTTTTATCTGCAACTACAAAAAGGAAAAGAATCATCAGCTCCTTTCTAAGCTTTATTCACTAAAATTGCAATGTTTTATTTATTTTTGCTCTTGCAAAAAAAATTCAGAAGCACTGTAGCAAACATTTCTTAGGGTAATCCTGGTTTACTTGGTGTGATGGGTCCAGACGGATTGGACGGATGCAACGGAACTGACGGTCGTACCGGTGCACCGGGACTGCCCGGAACTTTCGGGCCCCGTGGGGTAATGGGACCCTCTGGCGATTATGGTTTGCCGGGAGAACCTGGTGAGGGAGGTATCAATTCAGAAGGCTCCAAAGGAATTCGCGGGAATCCCGGTATCGATGGACCGGAGGTAGTAACGCGTTCCACGTTCAATGTCCAATGCATGTTATTATTCTTTAATTTAAAATCACTTTAACAATATTACACCGTTTCAATACCTGAATTCCAATATTATTTATCTTTACACAGATCAATTTTGCCAAAAGCAATTTCTTACGTTGTTGTTCATTAAAAATAAAAAGTAAATTAAATTAACAATTAAATTATGTTCCCATATGTCTTACTCATTTACATGCGACGCATGCAATTAATCTTTTTTACTGTAATAAAATCTCGCTGACATCACATTTCGTATACTTTTTATTTAAATTTATCAATTTTTATACATTTGTTTTGTTTAATCGAAATATATTTAATGAAAAATTAATATTGACCTCTTCTCCCATTATCGCGTATGATACATATATGATACTAGGAGGCGAAACGCGTAGTACAAACTGCTTTTCCTAAAATCCATCGCGAATTAATCTTATCATTCAAATCCGCTCGTAAGGATCATAGTCGTCAATCCTAAGACGTAATCGCGTTTCCAGGGTTATCCAGGACAGCCGGGTCTCACCGGCGAGATGGGCCATCCAGGAGACACGGGCGACTTTGTAAGTAATAACAGGAGAGCAGGCTTGTATATCTCACGGTTGTTTAAGGTACCGTAACACCGGTCGATCGGTGCCGACTCTCGAGGGCCGGTGAACCCTCACGCGAGCGTTTAGGTAGATCCCCGAAGAGCGGATACACTGCACAGGAAGAGGTAGAAGCCTGCAGGAGGAGGAGGAGGAGGAGGAGGAGGGGGACGAGGGAGGAGGAGGAGGAGGAGAGGAACGAGAGCCCGACTCTCGGGGACGACTCTCGTTCCTTTTTGCGAAACGCCACCTGCTCACATGAAATATCGTTCGCCGGCCAAAGTATTCCCCGACAATATTTAACGGGGTATCGGGTAAAGGGGAGAAAACGAAGTGGAAAGAATCCGAAAGAATTCTGCGCGATATCGCGCGATAAGCATCGCTCCGAGGAATCCTCTTACACCGCCGCCGAGTTAAAAGTCACCTTTGAATGCGAGCGCGAAATGCACATTCTGGCTTTAAGTGAAAATGTGCGAAATGAATACTCAGAGCTCTGAAAGGGGAGCAATTCACATGTCTATCTCCCATTTCCCGTGCAATAGAGCGCACAATAGAAAATTTTCTCTAGGAACAGTCGGAGAAGATGAGAATTGAGTAAAAAATTGTGGATTTTAATTACCAGTCGCGCCTGTCGCTAATGAACATTTTCACATTATTTCCCTCTGTTTTAGAACTCTAAAAAAAATAATCACTGAGATACCGGGATAGATTAAAAGTTTTTGAAATTAAATATGCGCTCTGTTGAAAGAGCTGCAAATATCCATTGAAGATGCGCAATGCGCAAAAAAAATTAATTTAAATTTTAATTTAAGAAAGCTAATTAATTTAAACTTAATTTAAGAAAGAAGATTACCTTAAATTAAAAATATAATATTCATTCGGAAGGAGAAGGAGTGGTGGTTTTGCGGCGTAGAAAGAATAAGTTGTCGCGTATCTTAAATTACAATAGTGCGACGCAGGCAGGCGCAATATGGTAATGTAACGTATGTCGCACCATCCAGTATTTCGGTTCTGGTATAAACCAGACGACGAAACTTTATGAGATTCTTAAAGCGCACAGAGACACGATGGTCACTCGAAAGTTATCTGCGCCACTTGTATCCGCGGTATTCCAGATTACGCCCGTAAGGTTGAATTACGTTTGCGATGTTACACGTATTCCCCAGAGCAAGAAGAACTCTGTGCAAGAAGGGAAGGTTTAGCGTTCCCAGCGTGTGTACTTACTGGCGATATACCCCGTTACTTATCAGCTACTTTCGCTACTAGGAAGTGAAGCTTTCTTCTCGCTTGCAATTTACCTGACGCAGCTAATTAGCGAACGGGGCAATAAATTCTCCGGGGCGGGAAATTCACAGCACCGCTGACGAAGGATCGCGAAGGAAAAAGATCACTCGATATGTAATAATAAATCGCTGAAATTCAGGAAGAGCGAGCATCAGTTAATACACATTTTCTTTTTATTTAGAGAAAACTATTTTACACGCATCGCCGTAACGATTTCATATACACGAATCATTTTCCATCGGACGTTTCTTCTTTTTCCACCGAGGAAAGGTGGGGCTCTCCGTGCAGTTAGTCCTCTCGCGATTTTGCAGAATTTAACTTTAGTCATAGCAAGCTAGTACCAACGCGGATGCGCGAGGAATAAGAGAAAGAAAGTATTAAAATGTGCGGAAACTTCGTATTTAATCGCTAAATACGAAACGCTGAAATCCGAAGCGTCGCGTCCGCCGTCAGCTGCTATCTGCTGACGCGACTGTCGCTGATAGCCCGAGAGCTGTCTCTTCACGAGATGACGAAGGGAAGAGAGGTTTTAACCAGCGACCAACGGCTTCCGAGAAAGCCGATGAGCACCGGGTTCTCCTTCTTGTTGATCCTCGGCAAAAGTCGGTTACGCCGTTCGCGCCATTAAAGAAGACACAATCGGCTACCGAAAACCGGTTTCCTCATTGACAATGGCGTTAATCGCGCGTCCGTGCACAATTGCATGGGTAATTTTTAATGGTGTGTTGCCACGAATTTCGGTACCTCTCTTCCATATAAAGGGCGGATCGACAGTTAATTCGGCAAATTGCACTAACGTATTTCGAGTCTTTTCTCGAATTTTGACAAATGTCAAAAGTTCATTGTCATGTAATTTTGTTATAATTCTCTGTCTTTTATTTAGATAGAATTGGTCTCTCGTAATAAATTTTCTAGAATTCTGTTGCTGCTAATTGTATCAGTAAAGTTTATTATGTAATTACGTTCGCTAGTTAAAATGCTTGGAATATAACAAGATCAATAATTTTAATACCGCAGACGTATTAATTATATAAGTATGATACAATTTGTAAGAATACAAATTGTTTCATTTAGAATTTTTATTAAATTTTTATTAAAAATATAAATTTTTATTAAAAAAAAAATAAATAAGCTAGTTATAATGAGTATGAATGATGTTTTTTATGTTTTTTATCATGATATGGTATAAAGTATTTCTTTCTCTCTTTATCTCGTCGTGCAATGGTATTAACGTGGAATATGAAATATTCCCACAGATTTAATCAACTGTTGCATACGTTAATCAAAGTAAAATGTCATGCTTTGATCGAAATAGTCTCGCAAAGTCTAGCTTCATTTCGCTCGGAGTAAAAATAAACAGGGATGGACCAGGACGTGCACTTAAATTAGCATTATAATGGACTCATAATACATGCACTTACGCTCTGCCACGCTAGATGTAACTTCGGCGTAATGCGTACGCATATAGGTAGAACTACATCAAGATATACCTGGTGTCTCGAGAGTATCGTGTATTACAAATCCCTTGACAAGTTTAGATTTGATTAGCTAAACGGGAAACTGGTAGTTTCAAACATTTCGATATATGAAAATAATCAGGAAGCTAACTCAGGAAAAAGGAAAGATCGGGACAGTATATAGACACTTAAAATATTCTTTAAGATATTAAGATATATTTCACTATATTTTTTTTATCTTTCTTTCTATCCTTTTCTTGAAAAATAGAAGTATTAAAATGTAAGCCTTTCGAAAAATAAAATAAATAATATTTATTAAAGAGAAATTTATAAGACATATGCAAATTATATATTAATAAAACGATTTGATAAATTATAACAATTAAGTGATAAAGCGTGAAAAAGATATTTGTTTTTCTATTAGGGTCTACCAGGTGCTCCAGGCTTGCCAGGCATGCAAGGTGAACGCGGTGACACTGTCTATGGTGTAAAAGGTCCACGTGGCGAACAGGGAGACAGAGGAGAGCCTGGACCACCGGCTACGGACGAACACAGGAAGAATGAAAATTCGACGCCCGTAAAGGGTTTTCCGGGACCAAAAGGCATGAGAGGCTTCCGAGGCGACCGAGGTCGCAAAGGAGAGATGGGCGCCAAAGGACCACAGGTGATTATGTTATACTAAATGTGATCATAAAATTATTAATATATTTAGAATAATACACGGAAAAAACAATTTTGAATTTGAGAATAATTTTATTAAAATGTCTAAAATGTTAATGTCTGAAAATAATTGAACTGTAAATAATTAAGACTATTTTAAACTAGTAATTAAAATGTAAAAAATGTTGCTATTATTATCATTAAGCATCCTACATAATTTGGATAGCGTAAAATTATTTTCAAATCTGTCTTTCTATGTGAACTGCATTTTATAAAAAGTCATATTACAAAAATATATTATTATTGATAAGAAATAAAGATCACATTTTTAATATAAATTAAATACAATTGTTTCGCATATTATTTTAATTGCTTAGTATTTAATATTTGATTTAATTATATATTTGTGCATTATTTAACATTTTAATTAGATATTGCGACATTTAAATATAATGCAATTCTTATTCTTAGGGTCGACCAGGTTATGTAGGTATCAAAGGTATGAAAGGAGAACAAGGTGAAGATGGACCAAGAGGTAAGCAGGGAGCCGAGGGCCCACCAGGTCCAGCTGGTGAAAAGGGAGAAAAGGGAGCTCCAGGATTCGCTGGAATGCCTGGTCCGGACGGACAAGATGTAAGTAAAATTATGTATATTTGATTGCTTTGAACCTAATTTTTGTTAAATAAAATCTTCTTTTTCATTTCTGTATGTCCCAGCAATCCAATTTTAACAAAAATCAACTTTTACAACAAATGTAAAATTTATTTAAAACATATTTTCTAAATACCGGCTTAAATGCACCATGATATTTTATTCTTTATTGTTTGTTACTTAAAACTATCAATGTACATTATGTACATTTAATAAGTAAAATTAAAATTAATAAAGAGTTGACAATATTAGATATATCACATATACATATATGATATATGATATATGATATTGTTATCAAGGGAGAACTTGGAGAGGAAGGAAATCGTGGCCCACCCGGCAGACAAGGGGCTGAAGGAGAACCTGGACTGTATATCCCAGAACTTGATGAAATAATCGCCGGAAATATTGGAATTCAAGGAGATCTTGGTTGGTGTAACAAATGTTATCTTTTTTGCGAAAATATTTGAATAGTTATCAATCTAAATGTCAAATATATTAGATATATATTAGAAATATATTAAATATATTAAATAGATATTACTATTATGTCTTTAAAAAAATTAAAAATTACTAATTATTTATAATATTAAAAAAAAATCACTACAATAAATATTTATTCTTAGCTAGAAAAGATCTTTAAAATCTTCGTTTCTTTCACAGGACCTCCTGGTGAACCTGGTCAAACAGGAACACCGGGTCTGCCAGGAAAGGTCGGCTTTATAGGACCGCCAGGACCACCAGGACCTCCAGGTATCCCTGGTTTAGCGGGAGCAAAAGGTTCATCCATAAAAGGAGAGCAAGGAGACGATGGTATTTATCGTTTTCTATATCGATTATCTTATAAAGAACATTATAATTATTGATTTATGAATTATTCTAGGCTTATCAGGCACTATGGGACCTCAAGGACCTCCCGGATTGCCTGGCTTACCCGGAATTATGGGAGCCAAAGGATTTCCGGGAGTAACGATAATTGGACCACCGGGACTGGATGGCAATCCAGGCCTTCCAGGATTGTCAGGTCCACCCGGTGATCGTGGTGACCCTGGTCCTCCAGGTAAAACTTTTTGTTAATTGAGAAATTAATGAATTCTAAATTATTTACTAAAAAGCTAATTTATCTAATTACTAATTAAAAAATAGTTAAATTATATATTAATTTTATAATTTTATATTAAATTTAAAAATAAATATGCAAAATTTACTTTAATTTTCATTATTATCTCAAGTCTATTATTATTACTGTAATAATTCTATTCGTAAATAATATTCTTTTATTAATCATGGTTAACTATAATTGCTGCGCAGGAGAGAAAGGTTTTCCTGGGAAAGGTATAAGAATTCGTGGACCAACTGGAGAACGCGGTCTACCGGGAACACCAGGTATTCCTGGTCCCGATGGTTGGCCTGGTTCTCCTGGCTTTAAAGGTATCAAAGGTTTTCGAGGAGACGATTGCGGCATATGTGCTCCAGGTAAGAATAAATTACGATATCATATTAACAATAAATAACAATAAAAGACACGTTTATAATGAAAGAAATTAAAATATTTGTTTTGCTTTTATTATCACATAGGTCTACCCGGTGAGAAAGGAGAACGTGGTGAACCTGGCTTGGATGGATATCCCGGAGCTTCCGGTTTCCCTGGACTACCTGGTCCACGAGGATACAAAGGAATACAAGGGAAACGAGGCCCACAAGGACCGGCGGGACTTGAAGGTGACAGTGGAAGACCCGGTATTGCGGGAGTTCAGGGACCTAAAGGACAACCGGGAAGGATATTCTTCCCTCAAAATAAAACGAAGGGGAGTCCGCCAGGCGACTTCGGCGAGAAGGGCTTACCTGGTCCCGAAGGTCTTAGAGGTCCACGGGGACGTCCGGGGCCCATTGGAAGCCCGGGTATACCAGGACCGAAAGGAGACAAAGTATTTTTTTATTTATTTTTATGTACATAATTATTTTTTTATATGATAGATTTGATTTATTTCATAGAATAATTTAGTTAGTTGTAGGAATTTCAATCATAAGCTGATTGATTATTATTAACTTCTTATTTTTTTTCCAATTTAATAATAATTTTTCAATCTTTAGGGTGATCATGGTCTTCCTGGGTTACCGGGAAGAGATGGTTTGCCAGGATGGGACGGCATTCCTGGTGAAAAAGGTGAAAATGCGTCGATATCAAGACTTGAATTTTTGCGTGGAGATTCAGGATATCCGGGAGTGAAGGGAATCAAAGGAATACAAGGAGAGAGCGGTAAAAAGGGAGAACCTGGTAATACCGCGGAGTATTATGTAAAAGCTACGGGTGATAAAGGCTACAAAGGAATCAGAGGAGCTCCTGGTATGAAATTAAAGATTTCCCAAATACATGAATTAAACAAGAATGTTAAATTATAGAATATAATAATATTAGGATGTAATAAAAAAAATCTTTTAACAAAAAATAGAATAGATGTAAGATAATATTTAAATTATTTACAATACTAATTACTAAATTAGATATAATTTATATTACTTTTTATATATTTGTTTCATAAAATATAACGTTTTAACGAAGAAATTAAAAATAAAATTAATTACTTTCATTGTTTTTCGTAGGCGAACCTGGCTTTAAAGGTTTCCAAGGACATCCTGGCGACGAAGGTCTACCAGGATTGCCTGGTGAACGAGGTTCTCCAGGAATTTCACTTCAAGGTCCTATTGGCTTAAAAGGATACCCTGGAATGCCGGGAGATCAAGGTTTTCGGGGTACACCAGGTTCACCTGGATCACAGGGACCAGTGGGTTTCCCGGTAGGTAAATTGTATATTTGTATACTTATTATAATTATAATTGTATACTTATAATAATTTTAATAATTTTTCTCTCGATAATTTTATAAAATATATTTAAAGTAAAATAATGTTAATGTAAAATGTCTTATTTCAGTAGCGTTAAGTTTTTGAATAAGTTTATAAAAATAATCACGTAATTATGTATGCGATTACAGGGTCGCATTGGTAACAAAGGTGAACGAGGAGATCCGGGTACAAATTTAACATACGGTGAAATTGGAGAACGCGGATGGTATGGTCCAAAAGGTGACACCGGCGATTTTGGTCCACAAGGATTGCCTGGTCGACCAGGACAGGATGGTCCAAAGGGTATCAAAGGCGCTAAGGGAGCGCCTGGTTTCGAAGGATTACCTGGACTTCAAGTGAGTTCTCATTCGTGATTTTCTATGAAGACTTACTCCGAATTAATTAATATTTATAAAGATTTCTTATAAAATATGTGTAAATGATTTATATTAAAGCAATTAATTTGATGAATTTAGGGAGCCAAAGGTCAACGTGGAGATAGTATTCAAGGTGATCGTGGATTTCCAGGAATATCTGGCCAGCCTGGAATGCCCGGAAGAATCGGAGATGTCGGTCTCCGTGGTAAATATCGAAAACTAATATTATCTAAAACAATTAAGTTTTTTATCTTATAACCACGAATTAAATTAACTGAGAAATTAGATCAAATTTCATCATTTTATTCGATTTGCTATTGCATTAGACTATCTCATTGTATGTCGAACATAACTCGGTTATTCTTGGCACTAAACTTCAATCTTGTCTTGAAAATAAGAAAAAAATAAATGCACATTTATTTTTAGGTCCTGATGGTCCTTCTGGTTTCGATGGGATGAAAGGCTTGAAAGGGGAAATTGGCTTTATTGGACGACGTGGTGACGATGGTGATGTGGGCCCTCAAGGGTACGAAGGGTTACACGGAATGCAAGGTCAACCAGGTGCTCCAGGAGAGAAGGGAGATGTTGGCGATGTCGGCGAGCCAGGACCACTTGGTTGGTCCGGTTTCGATGGTATAGACGGAGCACCTGGTGTTAAAGGAGAAAGAGGAGACATTGGAGTTCCTGGTTTACCAGGAGTGAGGGGACCACCTGGACTCAAGGGTATCATCGGTGATATTGGTCTCGAAGGATTATCAGGAATCCGTGGTGAAAATTCCTTCAGTGGTCCTCAAGGTGATCAAGGTGAACCTGGTTTTATGGGGGAACCTGGACCGCCCGGTCTAGCTGGATTCGATGGACGACCAGGATTACCGGGAGAACCAGGATTCGGCCCTGATGGTTTCAATGGTTTACCAGGAGAAAAAGGCGAACCTGGATTTGATGGCTATGATGGTATCATAGGACCAAAGGCAAGTGAACTTTTTTTTTTTACTAAAGAGTTGCTTTTACAAAAGGTGCATTTTTAAAATATGTAAAAATTATATAATGACATCTTAATTCTTGTTTATTCTAATTACAATATAATATCTCTTTTTTAAATTATATTAATTAAAAGTTTAAAAGATTCCATTTTTATATGAAATTATATATAATTATATATTTAAATAACTTATACGAATAATCTTCTTTATGTAAAAGATTAAGTAATTCATTGATTATTATTTTTTACACTTATTATTTACATGTTGTATTTATGAAAATTTTTCATGAATTATCACTAATTATTTAAATTAAGAAAATAATTTTTTACTGTTTAGAATTTGTAGTTAGAAGCTTGAAATTAATTTTTTACCTCGTCATAAGTAGCGAAAAAATTTTTAAGAAGTTATATTGAAATTAAGAGTATATATTTATGAATTTATAGGGAGAAATTGGTGATATGGGTCCTGATGGAGTAAAAGGTGAACGAGGCGAGCCAGGTTTCCCAGGAAGACCAGGTGGACCTGGAATACCCGGTAGACATGGTACAAAAGGTGAAAGAGGCCCAATTGGGCCACCTGGGTTTGATGGTTTGAAAGGAAAACCAGGTGTCGATGGTGATCCAGGTATAATGGGCAGACCAGGTAAATAAATAGCATTTATTCATTTTTATTACTTTAATTACACACTTTGACATCTTTGTATTATATTTATAATTCACATTAATTCACAATTATAAACATTCACAGATTTAATTCTCATTTAACTTTTCTTTCTTTTTTTCTGTTTTTTTTTTAATATTTAATAAAATTATAACAAAATTATAATAAAATTATGTATTCCAATATAATTTAGAAACAAGATAAGATGTATCAATATTTCGATGACAAATTACAAATAAATATTGTATATTAGGAATGCCGGGTGAGCCGGGTGTGAGGGGAATCCCAGGTATTATGGGTGCCCCTGGATCAAAAGGTTACGTAGGTGAACCTGGTTTACCATCTTACGCATTTGCGAGTAAAGGTGATTACGGTAATCGTGGCCATGATGGTTTCGTTGGTGCGAAAGGGCAGATAGGTGAACCAGGATATCATGGCATACCCGGCCGTAAGGTAAAATCACTTATTTATCTGAAGATATCAATTGAATTCAACTTGGAACCATACATAAAGAATTTATTTATTCATTATAGGGTCAAATTGGAGATAGAGGCTATCCAGGTCCTACCGGTTTCCCAGGATTACCCGGTTTCCCTGGTTTACCGGGTGATGAAGGACCTCGTGGAGCTCCAGGTATATATTGATATAATTAACGTGTGACTTATTAATTTGTAAAATATAATTTGAATTTATCAAAATTCTTCGTATTATAAATGATATGACTTTTTATTTTTTTTAATATTTAGAATTTTTAATCTCTCATTATATTTGATTAAACATTATTATATCATTTTTTAATAAAGTTTTATTAGAATTAATATATATTATGGTATATATTACGAATTCTGTTTTCATATTTTAAAAAAGTTAATGCCATGCTTTATTAATGCTTATTAATTTCTTTGTCTATATATTTTTAATATAATTTTGTCAATAAAAATCTGTCTTTTTTTTTATTTTGATATCAAACTATATCTTAGTTAATATTATTTTCCTATTTATTTGCAACAGGATTGCCTGGTGAATTCGCTGAACCCGGTGAACCGGGTCGCGCTGGTCTCGATGGTATGCCTGGTATTCCAGGACGTGCAGGACAAAAAGGAGCTCCTGGTGAATATGGCCCAGATGGACCTAAAGGAATTTCTGGTGATATAGGTCATAGTCTTCGCGGTCCTAAAGGAATGATCGGAGAACCAGGTAACGATCATTTAATTAACTTTTCTTTAAATTAATTATATAATAAGACAAGGTAAAAAATGTGCACTCTTATGATAAATTTATGATTTTCAACATTCTTCTATCTCTTAATATCTCTCCTTGTAAATTATTTAAATCTTTTGAAAATTTATTATTCTACGCGTGTTTTAATCAGGTCCCCGAGGATTTGTCGGTATACCGGGTATGCCAGGATTAGAAGGATTGCAAGGTTTTCCTGGGGCACCAGGACTGAAAGGTTTCCGTGGAGATCAGGGATTACCTGCTGAAAGCACTAGAGGACAATCTGGCGATTCTGGATGGCCTGGATTGGATGGTCTAGTCGGACCGAAGGGAATGAAAGGTGATTCTGGTTTACCTGGTTTTGATGGATTACCAGGTCTGAAAGGAGAACCGGGAGAAACTGGTGAACCTGGTCTACGTGGATTGCCTGGTCCTGAAGGACCACAGGTGAGAATCTGAAATTGAAGATAATCTTGCAGTTTGACTATCAATCCGTTAATTTGACTCCGTCGACTGGATAGTTTCTTTCTATCTTTTTACTTTTAACAAAAATTCCTTTAATTATTTCCTTTAAATTTCATTATTTACGATTAGATAATGCAAAAATATTTTAAATAAATATAAAATTAAAAATAAAAATAAAATGAATCAAAATTATTTCAAATAATGCTATGTTCTTGATAGGGACCAAAAGGAGAACCCGGCATAAATCCTTTCCCACCGTTCCCAAGACGAGGTCTTCCTGGTGATGTAGGAATGGTCGGATTACCAGGTGTTGTATACATTATATTTTATAAAAATAAAATAATTAGATTTTGATGAACAGAAATGTAATACTGCATGAATACGCAGGTTTTGCTGGACCACAGGGAATAATGGGTGAGCCTGGTAAGGATGGCCTACCGGGACGACAGGGTGAAAGAGGAATGATTGGATTTACTGGACCACAAGGATCAGATGGTAAAGATGGGCCTCCCGGATATCAAGGACCTCCCGGAGCAACCGGCCGACAAGGACAACCAGGTATGTTTTATATTAACAATATTTTTGTTCTTATATTGAAATAATGTGTTAGAACAAATCTATATAGATTCTATCCATGTATTACATTAAAAAATAATTTTTCGCTAAGGTTTCCCCGGCCCACCTGGATTACCTGCGCCAAATGGAATTGGTCCAAGAGACCGAGGATTCTACTTTGCTCGTCATTCACAGTCCGAGATGATACCAATTTGTCCAAGGAATACTGTAAAGATCTGGGAAGGATTTTCTCTATTGCATACGATGGGTAATGGACGAGCTTATGCGCAGGATCTTGGTAAGCAATATTTTTTTTGTGTAAATATAGTTTGTGTTTATACAGTATATAACGTACAAAAAATTCAATAAATTAAAATCACTAACGCAAATCTACTGTTTTCTAAAATTAAAATGACATGCATTTCAATTTATAAATATTGTCCTTATAAAATACAATAAAGTTTTGTAATTATCAATGTATTTATAAATATATTTACTAACGCAAAGTCTCTTTATATGTAAGAAAGAAAAGTGATTGTTATAACTTGACATTACGATGCTATGATTTAATTGTAATCTCTTGTTATTAACAGGCGCTGCTGGCAGTTGCATCAAGAAGTTCTCCACTATGCCCTTCCTATTCTGTAACCTGAACAATGTATGCGATTACGCCAATCGTAACGATTACAGTTATTGGCTTAGTACAACCGAACCTATGCCGATGATGATGACACCAATACCAGCTCCGGAAGTTGGTAGATACATATCGAGATGCTCTGTATGCGAGACGCCGACCAGGGTTATAGCTATTCACAGTCAATCTATGACGATACCTGAATGTCCGGGTGGTTGGGAGGAAATTTGGATTGGCTACAGTTTCCTCATGGTAAGCTCAATATTATATCGATATTTGTACAAATGCAGTTGAGACAATATGTGTAAACATTGAAATAGTTTAATTTAAAAAAATTATTTTTCAATATATATTCACATTTTTTTCTTTTTAAAAATTTTTTAATCTTTTTAAAATCTCATTTCAATATATTTTTCTATAAAAGTAAATTTCTTAAAATCTTAAATTCTTGAAATTAAAACTCTTTACAAAATTTTTGAAAGATTAAATAATACACTCTTTTTGCTATCTTTTGCTTATTAAGAATATTTATTTCAAATTTGCGAAAAGTATTAAGTATCTTTATGTATATATTAAATTATTGACAAATATAAATGCATTATGTTTAATTTCATTATGCATAATTACAGCACAGAGATGCAGGTGCAGATGGCGGCGGCCAGTCCTTAGTTTCACCTGGATCCTGCTTGGAGGAATTCCGCGTCAGGCCATTTATCGAATGTCGCGGTCTTGGCACGTGCAATTACTTTGCCACAGCCACGTCGTATTGGCTGGCAACTATTCGCGACGACGAGATGTTCCGCAGACCGCTGCAGCAGACTCTTAAAGCTGATCACACGTCCCGTGTGAGCCGTTGTGCCGTATGTCTTCGCCGAAGGACCACTGAAATTCTGAAACCCTTCACATCGAACAATGAGCGAACTCCTAATAATTGGGGTATTGCTCCACCGGCATCACCACCTCGCTATGATCCTTCTAGGACACAAGCTAGCCGAGGAAGATATTCCAGCCAGAGACGTATACCCTATCATTATCGCAGGAGAGGTCATATTCGTGGAAAGCAGCGATCGACAGAGTCTCCCAACAATCTGTAGGGGCAACGCACATTGCGCGTATATCCAGAATAAGCGGCGTCAGTGACGTGTTAGGGTGTAGCAAGTCTATGTATATAAAAAAGCAACAAAAACTATGTTTTTTCTATTAGTTAAGTTATATCGGTCGGGTGCTTTAGTCTATAGATCTTACACTGGATAGAAATGAATAACGCAGATAATTCAGAAATAGCATGATAAAAGAAGCTTTGGGATAGCGTGGATAATACACAGGTCTGGAAAGTGTTATAAAAAGAGACGTTCTTTAAATATCTTCCGTCCTCTATCGTATGTTTTGAGGAAAAGAAATCATGTGAATAAAAGTCTTCTTTTTAAGTCGCGGACTATTGAAGTATTAGATATGAAATGCAATTGAGTATAGTACTTTGATAAATCTCTTTATCGGTATATTTTTCCCGGAAATAATAACAAAATCAGAGCTTGTCAAAGTGACTGCTATTGAATCAAGACCTGGGTTGCTGCTTATCTAAAAGTCCTCAGCTCGAACCCTTCTATCGCTCTTGGAAATCTATTATTCGTTGTTATTCGTTCCCACCCTGTGAAAAGAGGTCTGTGCCCTGTTCCGGCCATCTCGTCTCTTCCTGCGTGCCCGATAAAAAGCGCCGCCGGCTGCGATAAAGCCATATAACTGCCTTATGCCAAATAGAAAAAGAACCTGTCGCATCCGGCCATCGCAAACTGCCAATAACATCGCGCTCGCCGATGCGATTTACGAGATCACACTATGATAATTAAATTAACGTTATGTATATTATATTGCTGTCGTAACTATTATCTATGTATCTCGCATTGAATAAAGTACCTTTTGTATAAGCTAATCGATGTCTTTTCAAAATGTTTATCTTCTTTTTATAAAGATTTCAACAAATTATAAATTATAATTTTACAACTTAAAAATGTGTGAATAATCATAGATTATTGAAACCTTATATTTTAATTGATTGACTTATAATTTCATCTGCTTGATAAAAAGAGCAAAAGAGATTAAGCTTTATAATTTTATTTGTAATATTTTCTATTTTACAATTTATTCTTCGATGTTTAAAAAATAAAACGCAAAGGGAATTATTCAAAAGATATAAAACAATATATATTATTTCCTTAAATAAATTTCAGTTGTTTAAAATTAATTTTTGCTTTATAAATAAAAAAATAAGAGTGTATGTTGCGTTTTTGTTTTAGTCTACATAAAAGTTACATCACGCTAAGCTCTTGAGCGAAAGCAGATCTAGAAATGGTAATAAATCAGGATTAAACCGAAAAAGTAAGGAGGCTCATCAGGGATGTTTTGCGTGTTCGCGAAACGCTTAAAAGAACGAACTAAATGAAGCAAAGAACACTGAAATCATTTGACAGTTTAATGAAAGGCGAACGGGCCTTCAGGACACGCGAAGTTCACATACAAGCTCGTCGTACGAAATGAACGTACACGGTGAGAGATCGATATTATATTTATATTTATAAAATTATTCATCATTAGAAAGCACATATGATCTATATGACGTAATTTGCTACGCACACCCGCGTACAAGCGTGCCTACGAACAACGCACGCCTCCACACACGCACACACGCATACACTGCACGCCTAACATTATTTCCATCTCGCACCCTGGCATAAGCACGCACACGCGCGGACATACACAAACATGTACGTGCGTACTAATCTCGTTCTTTTCCTCGTTCTCTCTTTCTCTTTCCCTTTCTCACGCTCTTGGCTTTCTTTTTCTCTTTCATTCTTCTTCTAATTCTCGTACGCGTAATATACGTATTCGCGTTCACAGGCGAGTACATGCCTATGTATGTACGTGTACATATTCAGAGTACCTCACGGTTGTGTTTCTTTTTTTTTTTACGGTAGATTACAACTTCGTAACTGTTTTCGATTGGAAGAAAAAGCAACAAGGGACGAGCAGGCCAAATATTAATGTCATCACAGTATCATCATCATCATCATCATCATTATCATCATCATCATCATCATCGTCGTCATCATCATCATCATCATCATCATCATCATCATCATAATTATCATCATCATAATTATCATCATTACCGCGTCGTCGTTTGTTTCTTCGCGCCGCGGATAAAACGTATTTTATGCTGTACAAAATATTAAAAAATCAACGAAAGCAACAAGACGCATGCAAATGCCTATAAATGTCTGTTTTTTTGCTAAAAACTCACCACGAATCAGATTCCATTATTTTTCAATATGTACATCGTGACGATTCAAATATCAAGCGATATGATACAAGCTAAATAATCCGAGGGAAACTCAAAACACGAATCCCTTTTCCCTTCGCGATAAGAAACTTTCAAAATTTTAAAAAACCACTAGACGGACGCATAATCATGTAAATATAATACACGCCAAATAACACTAGAATTGCCCCGATGCGCGTCCGTCGAAATCACATTTGCAAATCACGGTCGAAACGAAACGGAAAAGAGAGACGCTTCCTCGTGTACTTCACTTTGCGCAATTAAGAGCAAAAATTCCGTCGATGCGAAAGAAAAGTCGTCGACGTCGTTCTACGTTCATATATACCCGAAAGTCATTATCATTATACGCATTCAAAACCTCTAGTAGCGATTTCTTCCAACTTTTAATAAGTGGTGAACTTCCTGGAAAAATAAGACACTTGCGTGAGATTTCTTTCATATGTATGTGTACACGCGTATACACACACATACACACACGCGCGCGTAGCATCGTGTGCATATACACGTGTAGGTGTAATTAGATTTCTTTTCTTTTCTCATTTATATAACAACAGATGTCATTTAGAAGTAATTTAGTGTGCATCTAAGACCCAAAAGAGAATCATTACCGAGCTATGCAAAATAGAAGATCGATTTCCTTTTTTTCTTTCTTTCTCCACCTCACATGTATAGATATATAAATATACGTCAATTTATATATCGATTATACATAAATAATGTTCGCATCTATTATTTATATATAACGCGTACATAAACCCACTATACATATATATACATATACATTTATACAATAATATATTTATATTTATATTTATATTTATATTTATATATAAAGGTACTCTCTTACTATTGAA